ACGACACTGGCTAACACGCCAATCATCCCCCCCAATGAAAAATATTTTTCTACGCCACTGAGTGGGGCATTTTAAGAAGCAGAACATGTCAAATTGTATCAACAAAATGCACCCTTGATATTTCTGGGCTCTCTGCCTGGACCCAGCCCCCAACGGTAGTTACGGTCCAAAACGTCTCATCCAGGGGCCCTGGGTCACTTCGTTTTGCCACTGCTTGGGATCTGATTTCATTGACCACTATACGTAACCACTGTTCAATTGAAAAACTATCAAAGATCTATAATATAATTTGTTTTAATTAATTTACATGTGCGATCTCATTCAAAACATCGCATAGCAAGATCTTGCTCGCACACACTTGCCCTGCGAGATTATCTTGATCACGTGACCCCCGTCGTAAACACGCCCAATGGTAATTTGCAATGTACCTTCATAAAAATATCAGGCGCAATGACAGCGCCAGGACTGCATGGCAGAGGGGCTGAAGACCCCGACAGGAGGAAGGGGGCTAAATTAGTAAATCTGGCCGTTTGGCTGAGGGCCACATGGGACTCCCTGTGGTGGTCAAGGTGGTGAAGTCCCCGAAAGCTACGAATACTGGTCAAATTTATTATTTTTTTTAATAGGTATCAATCAATAAGCTTAAATAAATGTAGTCAGTTGCGGAGATTCCATATTTTTAAAGAAGGATACAGTACGCTTTGATTGAAACAACTAAGGTTGGGGCCGTAGGCGAGTACCCTGGAGCTTACACATTCTAGAATATTAGATAACAAAATTCAATAGATTTCTATGGAGGAAATTTGACTAAAATAACGTTGTACAAATTTGAACAAAAAAAAACCAAAACATTTACTATGAATTAAACTCAGGATAACTAATTATAAAACATAGGAAAAAAAAGACCAACCAATTTGTACTTACCTATTTCTTTTAAGTAATATTTCAGTAGTATTTTCGTAGCATTTATTCCATGCCATAAAGTTATTTGATATATCATTGTATAGTAGACTTAAACTTAATTGATAGATACATAACATAATAATGATGGTTTGCATATAAAAGGTCATAAAATAAGCAGAGCATTAAGACATGACTTATATTGATACAATAAATAACAATAAATAGAAAACAAAATCATAATTCATTATAACCCTAATAATAATAACAATATAATACCATTCTTTATTACATAAAATAAGTAAGATATCAGATAATAATGACAATGATGATAATGGTAATAGTGGTCCTAAATAAAGTCAAAATTATTCTTATTTTTACATAATAATACTGAACATAGTGATTAAGTAGGTGAGTGTGGACTTTTATCTTGAATTCATCAATTAAGTTGCAGTGTTTTATATGATCAGATATTAACTATTCCAAATTTTGCAGCCCCTGTAAGCTACACCCTTTTGTCGTACATTTATTCTTTTCATAGGTATCTGGTAATTACAATTATTTCTTGTTTCATAGTTATGTATATCCTCCATTTTGAGAAAAAGTTTATCAAATGCAATTGGAAGCTGATTCAATTGTTTTCATACTTAAACTTGAATATCGCGAGTTGTTTATCATATATATCGTAGACATTAAGTGAATTGTGTTGGTAGAATAAACCACGTGTATGATGCAACAGTGGTGTATCTACGGGGGATAAATTACTCGCTCCCATGCTGTGATTGCATAATTTATGTGGTAAAGCTAAAGCATTATATAATATTGTTAAATGTATACTGTAGGGAATAAAATATTTTAATCTGTTCCCGACCAAATCCACACCTTTCCCCGACCGGAGGTGGGTAGGCTATAGCCACCCCCACTCTTTCCGCTGACACCACCACTGTTCACGCGGGTCAACGAGCAATACCGCAGCATACATCATCAAACTGGTAACGTTACGACTGGATAGTAACAACGACACAGTTGAGAAAAGATGATATTTGATTGACATCGTAAATGTCCAAGGTAAAAAGTATATCCTACCTGATGCAGAGTAAGTATTTGTATCATTTTCAACGAGGTTTTCAGAAGACGACTTCAATGTTTGATAACCAAAACAAGTACCATCTAATGTGACCAAAGAAAGCAATATTTTGATTGATAACTTACTTTATAGTACACATGTGTTTAATCAAAATTTGTTAATTCTTAGTATTGTGTCGTATATATTGTAACGAAATTTCCCCCTGCGTTGTAACAGTCCTATGGGGCGGGGGTGGAGCAATAGGTTTAATTAGTAGAATAGCCCTGAAAACCATTTTGATTGGTCCGTCAGTCGGATTGGCTGATAGTGTCCTTATACAGAGCTAGTCTGAACAGCCGAAAGGGCCACTGATTAATCTCAGATAAGAAAGTATAATACATACTCCAAGTATTGAAATACACGCCATCGTGTTGGGATTCAATATTTCGACATTAATTATGTCATCATCAAGAATGAATAGGTCCGTCCCTTCTCCTCTCTTTGCTGCCAGCGTTACTGTTGCTCTCAAATGATGGGCTGGGCGTTTTTTTCTTTACTCGGGATGCTCCAAGAGAGGGAGAGACGGAAGGTCTATTTTATGGACTTTATAATACTATAGAGACTCGTACGTATTTCTAGTTGAACTGAGTTGAAGAAGCATGTCTTTAAGTTTGTGTATTAACTTAACGCAGCACCAGCTGCACTGTGTGTGGTGAGTATCGATTTGATAATAGACCCAATAGGCTCAAATCTACGTTACAATATCTAATAAAGTAAAGTTATATAAACCGTATTTATTCGAATAAACGCCCCGGGGCGCATTGTTGAGAAGGTTTTTTGAGGGGGTGTTTATTCGAGAGAGGCATTATTATTATTATTATTATTATCAAGGCGTTTAGGGATTTTTTGTGTGTAAAAATTAAAAGGCTAGGTATGTACTCAAATAAACGCCCCTTAATTTCACTGTAAATCTGGAACTACAACACATAATTACAGTTAGCCTATCATCAAATGTGTTATTGCATGTTCATAAAGTCATTGATCCCAACTAGGTTAAAAAATATATAATTTTACTAGAGTAGAATATACTAGACTGTGTTGATACTATGTAATTTCCATTAACATAGTTCACGGTCATTTTACTCGAGGAAAAGATGAACTCCCAGTGCGTTTACTTGAGGGAGACATTTATTCCAAATGGGGGTGACGTTTATACAAAGTGAGAAGTTTTCGAATAAATACGGTACAACGTCTCGGAAATGGAGGGCCAGCAGTAGCCGTGGTGATGCGTCACAGTTTGAAGTCGACTACTCAAAAAAACCCGTACATTTCACAATCAAGATATCAAAGTTTTAAATATCGTTTACATAGTCCTATGTTTAAAGATACGTTTTTTTACCGAATACCGGTATGTTGTTAATTGTTTGCCAGGTTCTTTTAATATTGTTTAAATTTGTTAGTATAGTATTAGTGGAAATGTTTAAATTAATCACCTCAGTTATGACCTGTGTTATGTTCTTGTTTTGCTTGCTCTCTCGTTTGCTGGACTCCAGCAACTAGTTTTTGCTTGTGAAGCATTTGCTAATGACTACGATACTATATTTAATGATAGGAAGCCTTCTTTTTCCTCCATGCTGTATGCGACTGTCCACCCACATGTAAATTAGAAGGCAATTCGATAAACTAAACTCTTTGGCAATGAGCTTGTGCATGTTGAAAGCGGAATTTATCATTCTCACCTCAAATAGAAGTGATGAGGCAGATATTAAAAAGCAGTACAGGTCTTTATGTATTAGGAGTAACTCTCTAAATCGTAAATCCCTAAAATGTTCTGTATATGTTAAGTGTTGCCTTTTTCGTTCATATTGCATCAATATGTATTGCGCTACCTTTTGGTGCGATTACCGGCAGATAAATATTAGACATCTCAATGTATGATATAACAATGCATTACGTAGAATTCTTAAGCTTCCTAGGCACTCTTGTGCTAGCATGATGTTTGTTAAACATGCTGTGCCATCTTTTAAAAAGTATATGCGAAAATCAGTATATAGCTTCATGCAATGAATGCTGACCAGTAGCAGTACTCTAGTGATTTGTATGTAAACTGATGCTCTTGGATTCTAAGATGTATGACAGGTGGAGAAACCTCCTATATGTTTAACGGTTCAACTTTATTGAATATCCTTGGGGTATACCGGTCCATAGGGTACCTCAGTGGAGTCCCTACCCTGTTGATGCATAGTTCAGTTAGGGTGGGGTATGCGGGTCATTAGGACTTTAGTGGTGTAACGCCCTAACCTGGTAATGCATAGTTCAGTTAGGGTGGGGTATGCGGGTCATTACGACTTTAGTGGAGTAACACCTCTACCCCAGTAAATGCATTGTTCGGTTAAGGTGGGGTATGCGGGTCATTAGGAAATTAGAGGAGTAACGTCCCTACCCCGTTAATGCATTGTTCGGTTAGGATGGGATATGCCGGTATTTAGGACGCTAGTGGATGGAGTAACGTTCCTACTCCTGTAATGCACAGTTGGTTAGAGTGGGGTATGCGGGTTTTTGTATCTGGTATTTCTTTTTGTCTTTCGTTATTTTATTGTTTTTTATGGATTTGTGATTCTGAAATAAAAGCTGAATGGAATTGAATTGAATAATGCTGTTTATATGATATTCTAATCAATTGAGTGAGTATATTTCTGTAAGTAAGGTAGCTCTTTTTGTTATTTGTTTGGTGAATTCATATATACTTTATATAATTTTAATTCTTGTATTTATTGATTTTATTATTCCTTTATATGTATTCACGGTTTGTTACGTTTTCGTTTGTTTATTTTGGTTTTTGGCAGATAATATTGTATAATGAGGATAATTTTTCAATAGCGAAAATCTCATTTTACGCGCTCCGTTAGCAGAAACAAACTGTATTTTGCCTGTTTTACCATTGTAGTCAAGGATGATATATGCCTACAAACTAGGTTCATCCTGCTTAGACTGTAAATAATTCCACACTTGATGCATGTGTATAGGCCTATTCCAAGTTAAACTTGGAATGGTACCGTTATGCTTAGGAAAGTTAGGGAATCTAATCTTTACGTCTAGCCCCATCAAAGTCAGGCATTTACTAGACAATCACAGCGATTGCAACGCCGCACGCACGTCTTCTGTTATTCCACTGAAAGTTTTTGTCTGCTCATGAAAACGAAAAATCCATTTAGTCCAACAGAATAATGTAGTTGCACTCTTAACAATTATGTAAAAAGATAGAGTTCGATGTACATAATCAACATTTTTAAGTTTGTGTCTCTTTGTGGGGTCGGTGATGAATTAGATATCATGAATTGGGTAGTAAATCTGGAGGCTGCGATGTACAGCACTGCCTAGTTTAAATTGTGCATGACCAACTAGTGTATATTCTGAAAGATAATTTGCTATAACTGTATCGTTGAGGGACAAGCAGCTTGATGGAATAAATACACGTAAAGGTAATGATAGTTGAGCGCACACGAGATGGTTACCACCAGACTAAATCAAATGTCTTATTTTGCTAACATACAGATTATGTGCAAGTTAAGAAATTAACTTTGTATAAGCTACGCCATATCCTTAAATTTGGAAAATTTTGGCAAAAAAAAAGAAAACAACAAGAAACTTCAAAGATATGGTATCATTTATACAGTATCAGTTTAAATAGATTGAGCAAACGTTTTGGCTTAACAACCGTTGTCAGGAATACAAACAAAAACTATTGACATTATAATTATATTCTAAACAATAAGTTTATTTTTGTAAATGGAAAAGTATCTGTTATATTTGAATAAATTAAAAAAATGTTTGTCTTTTGTTGTAACATAAGCGTCACATATTTAATTCCAATGAATTGCAATAAATTGTACTTGACTTGATAGTGGATATGGTATAATACTAATGAAATAATAATAAAATAATAATAATAATAATAATTTATAAAATGTAACAATAATAAAATCATTAGTAGTAATAATATAATAATCATACAATAATTATTACAAATGATTATAATGATAATAATGAAAATGACAATAGACACAAATAATTATTACTGAGTTTACACGCCTATTAAGATCTCACCTGTGATGGGCGGACATTTCCCTTCACTGATGTACACGTCATCAATCGCTAGAATTGTTTTATTTCCTGTGCTTCCATGGTCAACGTACCCCTCAAACCTTATTTTGTTTGAAGAACTGCCGCTGATGAATTGTAAACGACCATACTGCCACCCGGTGCCTAAGCAGTAGTACAATGCCATCAGGGTCTTTCCAGTAGAGCCGATATAATGCTGGACATATAAATGTTGATATGCCCCTCCAGTCATGTAGTAGTAGAATTCAATGCAACCATCACTCCAAGTAGATGGTATTTCGGCACTTTCCAAATATCCATACCGTTGTGAGTTACCCGAAGACGATTCAATATAGGAATAATACTCTGATAATTAAAAAAAAAAGGACACGTTTCTTTATGTGTTACTTTACTGATATATCATTGGTGTACCAATCTAATAAAGCATTGTTGTATCAATCTAATAATAGAAATAAAGTATAATCAATAGTATGATTATATTATTATAATAATAAATTTTGATATTTCGAATTAAATGAATAAAATAAAAAAGGCTATTATGCCTATAATAATACTCGATTAATTTAATGAATACTATATACTGTATTTAAAATTAATACTATACTGATTTATTATTATTATTATATTGTAAATAATAATTATTGATAACAGATAATTTTTAAATAATATTGTTAATAATAATAATTGATTTAATGAATTGTTGGTATTTAAATTGTATCAATTTTGTTGTTATTGTAAATTATACTAAGTGTTTGAATAATTAAATTTGCTGTATATCTTCATTTAAATATAAATCATAAAATTTTCTAAAATCATATGTTTTTAAAGATTTTTCACTTTATGAACGTTTATATAAATTTTTCTTGTTGGTTTTTGTGCCATCACTATTAGAATATGTTTTTATTATCCAACCTGCTATACGATTGCTATAAAGTGGATTGTGAAATGAAATGAAATAATGATGATAATGATGATAATAATAATAATACTTGTAAATTTATATAGCACATAACCTAATGTACCTCTATACGCTTTTTACAATTATTAAACCATCGAGGTTGGGCTTAGTGGCTATGAATCCGACCCCCAAAGTAGCGGGTACTGGTACTGTACAGTACTGAGCTAGTGGTTATGATACCAGCCTAGCTATCTGGAGGTCGTGTGTTCGATTTCTACTTGAATCACTGTTAGCGCTCTAGTATTCTTATTATATCTCTATGGTAACAACTGAGTATTCGGACAATATAACACGTCAGGTAGGACAGAACATCACTCCTATGAAGTTCCTGACGCAACTCTATCGATAATGGTTTATTTGATTATAAATTTATTCATTGAAATAATACCAAGAATCTCTACACCTTAAACCTTTCCCGTGTGTAATATTAAATGCTACACAGAGGCTATAGTTAGATAACGGACCTACTTATTAATAGGTCCATGGTTAGAACTCAACTGATCATTTTAATACTGCTCCGCCGTCAGTGTGTGGTAGTAGCAACTGCGCTCAACAGAGGGCGCTACATAGGATATCACATACCTGATGCAGAGTAACGATTTGTATCATCTCCAATGATTTTCCTGGAAGACCGCTTAAACGATTGATAACTAGAACTCGAAACTGGATAAGGATTCCACCCACTCCATCCATCATCGAAGTCAAAACAAATTCCATCTAATTTAACAAAAGAAAACAATATTTTGAAGACTTACATTTATGATTTTAAAGAAATATTCATTAATTAGGATTGTTCCTTGGATACGGTATCTACTTGGCACAAGAGAACCCGCATTAAAGACACCTCCAAAGTGTAAAAGTTTTTTTTTTTTATCTTTCGTGTGGGAAGATCCCACTTTCATTTTCCAATTATTTAGCATTTTATTTACAATAAACATCAGAATTAAAATAAGTTAGCAATATCATGTTAATCAACTGACGTGAAGAAGAAACATATTGAATACCTTCAAAGTGAATTACTAAAACAAACTATTTGGCATTTTGATAATATCATTGACCTAACATTTTTTTATTAAATTTTTTTAGTTGAACTTTTATGTTTTTCTAGTACTTACATTATTGACAGTAAGACAGTACTTTTTATTATTACTTTTTCTTTTTAATTACTCATAATATCCTTACCAAAGTTTGAACGTGCCTCAATGGGTGATAAGCGGATAACGTCTTGCTATGACTGTATTTTCATAGGGAGAGCAGCTGCTTAAATTATACAGACACCAATATATGATTATTCTAACGCAGTACACTAAAGTAGTTACAACCAGTTTTAAGCTTGGTTTACATAAAATAATACACTCTATCGCCAGCAGTTATTAGCGACTGCGTAGTCTTAATATTAATATGTTGCTCTCCTATAGAGAATGATGGCCAGAAACTAATAAAAATCTCTCTTTTTTTTCGGATCTTGTCCATATTGTCTTTCTTTCTTTGAATCTTCAGATCCTGATCTGAATTTCGTCAATACTATTAAACAAGAAACTTTGAAGAGTATTTTTTTTTTAACATATGTTTTGTTTAGCAACCATTGTCAAGCGTACATACATAGTTCAGTGACGGATCCAACAGAGGGCGAAAGGAAAGCCCGATTATTTTACCGTTTACTAATTTTGAATTTTCTATTGATTGACAACGAACACAACGCTATCTCCCCGACGAATATATCAGGATGTAAAAAGGCCAAAAGGCGGAGACCTAAAGACAGAGTTTTTTTAGCCGGAATGTAGTACCCAACTATAGAACAGCTATCCATGCTCAGCATGGAGTAATTGCGAAAATCTGCAGGCCACCGACCCTTAGGGGCCCCTTTGATGCCCCTACCCTTAAGGGTCTAGGGTCTATGCTCTATATACCTGTCTCTTATACACATCTAGATGTGTATAAGAGACAGGCTATACGATTGCTATAAAGTGGATTGTGAAATGAAATGAAATAATGATGATAATGATGATAATAATAATAATACTTGTAAATTTATATAGCACATAACCTAATGTACCTCTATACGCTTTTTACAATTATTAAACCATCGAGGTTGGGCTTAGTGGCTATGAATCCGACCCCCAAAGTAGCGGGTACTGGTACTGTACAGTACTGAGCTAGTGG